ACCCTTAGTACTCACACTATCCCAGGGGAGATAACAAGGCGAAAACTCAAAATGTATGAAAAAAAAACAATGTGAAAACCCGAAAGTCTCGAATCACGAGTTTCCGTCAGTCGTAAGTCCTCAACTCCACCCAGCTCTGATGGGGACCTTACTCCCGATAAAGAAAGTAAATACTTCAAAAACTCATTTTACAAAAAGAAATAATTATTTAGCAAAAGACGGGTAAAATATTTTTGAATTACGTTCTTTTTTTTTTTTTTTTTCTTTTTTTTTTTTTTTTTTTTTTTTATCCCAGGAAAACAACAACAGTATACTACGACTGTACCAAAAGTTCTAGAGCAATCCGTAGTCCCAGACTCTCCAGCACAGATCCATGATTTGTTTGGTTGGACTGGTCGACGCGACGTGTAAAATATTTCTAGCGGCCAGTCTAAACAGTAATAACGTTAGATAAACAGGGGCAGGAAACCAATCATGACACGAGGAGGGGAGATAACTCCTTTTGGAAACGGGTGCGTCATTACCAAAAAAAAAGGGTACATCATCGACCTGAAAACAAGGAGGGAAAACTCCGTCTGGTTAGTTGTTGAATTGTCGGATCTTGGATATACTTTGTCAGAATAATGGCAATCATATTTCTTTACAAAAAATAATATGCTATTTGCGTATAAATAGTAGTTTAATCTAGTTTTATTTTGTTAATAAGTCGATTCCGCGTGATGGATTTTCCTAACGAAATTCGATTCAACACAGATCTTAAAGATAAAATTAGGATAAGGAATATACATAACATGTATCATCATCTTTTCCCGTTCGAGCCCAATGCAATTGGGGCAGATTAAGCCGAGTTCATTTGCTTCAGATGACCTCGGCATAAGAAGGGTTAGTGTGGTCAGCACTATGCCAAGCTGACGTTGTTACCCTAACGTGATTTAGGTACCCATCAGAGCTGGGTGGATACTGGGACGTTATACTGAGTAATCCGGATTCGAACTGGATACATTCGGGTTAGCAGTCTAGCTCTCTACCGTCAGGTCACGCGGTTCCATAATAACATGTAGTTTAGACATTTAAATAAGACAAATGGGGCAGATGAAGTAGAGTGCATCTGATTCATACACCTCGGCATATAAAGGGATAGTGTGGTCAGCATTATGCCCAGCCGCCTTTGTTTCCCTAATGTAAGTTAGGTACCATCAGAGCTGATTTGAAACCGGATTCGAACGCGATACACTCGGGTTAGCTCTCTACCACTCGCCACGCCGTCCTTGTCTATACACCATAGTCTTATCATATTTCTCAGCCTTCCCACAATTCATTTCAACCATCAAATAGCCACAGTACTCCAACACCCTTATACATCATTATTTAATACGCCACTACCAAGAAGTCAAGAAACAATGAATTTAAAAAAAAAAAAAATAACAACAACTTCCTATCAAGTCGTAGAACATGACTGTCATTCTATAGTTAACATCATGTTTAAGAACCTACTCATCTAATTTAAGCTACTCACCGCCCACACCACGCCCCCGCCCATCCACCAGACCTGTCCCCTCACCTGTCTGATGCCAGACTTAGCACCCTCATTGTCGTCTGCTGTTAGATACAATCCGCAGCCGTTAGATTCTGAAGTACCGAAATAAACCCTTCTCTGAGCGAACGGGAATCGATTCTGGTTATTTTAAAATCGAAGATAAATATCGCAATTAGTGGCAAGTATCGATAGGCGACTTCCATCAGGGCGATTCATTATTCGTGATTACAGAGAAGAACGGAAGAACCACTTTGGCTAGTGAACTTTAAAGCGAGGCTTGTATTCGTTGGACGCTGAGAGCGATGTTAGAATTTTTTTGTTTAAATCGATACGACTATCAGAAGGCGATACCTATTGAATTGGTCGTAAATTGCCTTAGAATGGATAGTTGCTAAAGGGGACATGGAATCGATTACGTGACGTTTTTCAAAAATGTTTAACGCTTGAGTGAGAAAGTGGGGGAGGAAAAAAGAGCAGGGTAAGGGAGAGGAGAGGAGAGCAGAGGAGAGGAGAGGACAGGAGAGGAGAGCGGAGGACAGGAGAGCGGAGGACAGGAGAGGAGAGGACAGGAGAGCAGAGGAGAGGAGAGCGGGGGAGAGCAGAGGAGTGGAGAGCAGAGGACAGGAGAGCAGAGGAGTGGAGAGCGGAGGAGAGCAGAGGACAGGAGAGCAGAGGAGAGCAGAGGAGTGGAGAGCGGAGGAGAGCAGAGGAGAGGAGAGCGGAGGAGAGCAGAGGACAGGAGAGCAGAGGAGAGCGGAGGAGAGCAGAGGACAGGAGAGCAGAGGAGAGCGGAGGAGAGCAGAGGACAGGAGAGCAGAGGAGAGCAGAGGAGAGGAGAGCGGAGGAGAGCAGAGGAGAGGAGAGCAGAGGACAGGAGAGCAGAGGAGAGGAGAGCGGAGGAGAGCAGAGGAGAGCGGAGGAGAGCAGATGAGTGGAGTGGAGAGCAGAGGACAGGAGAGATGAGGAGAGGAGAGCGGAGGAGAGCAGAGGAGAGCGGAGGAGAGCAGATGAGTGGAGTGGAGAGCAGAGGACAGGAGAGATGAGGAGAGGAGAGCGGAGGAGAGCAGAGGACACGAGAGCAGAGGACAGGAGAGCAGAGGAGTGGAGAGCAGAGGAGTGGAGAGGAGAGCGGAGGAAAGATGAGGAGAGGAGAGCAGAGGAGTGGAGTGGAGAGAAGTGGAGAAGATATAGCATAAAATAAACATTTTAAAAATCGATACATTTCTAGAACATACACATTTTCAAAAATTTAATAAACTTGAATGGTACCAATATCTGGTTTCTCATTTTGGCATCCCCTAACCCTGCGAGAAGCATTTAAAAAAAACAAATCTAACCCCTGAATATATTTTATCCCATTTCATATTCCTCCAACGTGCTAAGCACCATCTCAAAAAATGCTGTTTCTCCCACCTCTCCCCCCACCCCACACTCTTTACACAATTTATACACTCCCCGTGCAAATATTGAATTCACTCTTAAACCCTTGGACGCGCGCACTAATCTCCAATCTTTCTGACTTGTGTGTTTGGGTCGTGTCCTTCCGAGGGCCATTCAGCAGATCTTCTGCGGAATCTACAGACAATGGCGGGCGCGATGATGCCGTTGTCATGGCAACGGAAGGTGATGCCGGGTGATGTAGATGGTTTACTTTATGTCAAACTTTGGCCTCCTTCAGTCGAGGATGGGTTGGAATTTTTTTTTTTTTAAAATTCAGAAACGTTCTCAAAACGTAAAATGGAATGAAGACTGGCTGCTTTTTCAGAAGAGCCACAGGAATAGTTTTTTATTTAATTCAGTATTGCTGGGACCATGGATAAAACATTGTCATTCTTGGATTCTATTTATATAGAGCGATACATCAGACACATCGTGAGGTTGACACTTGGCTAACTAGACACATTACCAACAAGACATATGGTCAAACACATGGCCAACCGAACATATGTACAATCCGGCACATAGCCAACCAGACACATAACCAACAATTCACCTGGCCAACCAGATACTTGGCCATCCAGAAACATGACCCTCCAAACACATGGCCAATCAGATACTTGGCCATCGAGAAACATGACCATCCAAACACATGGCCAATCAGATACTTGGCCATCGAGAAACATGACCATCCAAACACATGACCAACCAGATACTTGGCCATCCAGAAACATGACAAGCCAAACACATGGCCAACCAGATACTTAGCCATCCAGAAACATGACAAGCCAAACACATGGCCAACCAGATACTTGGCCATCGAGAAACATGACCATCCAAACACATGACCAACCAGATACTTGGCCATCCAGAAACATGACAAGCCAAACACATGGCCAACCAGATACTTAGCCATCCAGAAACATGACAAGCCAAACACATGGCCAACCAGATACTTGGCCATCCAGAAACATGACAAGCCAAACACATGGCCAATCAGATACTTGGCCATCCATAAACATGATAAGCCAAACACATGGCCAACCAGATACTTGGCCATCCAGAAACATGACAAGCCAAACACATGGCCAATCAGATACTTGGCCATCCATAAACATGACAAGTCAAACACTTGGCCAACCAGTCGATCAAACACGTGACCAGCAATACACCTGGCCAACCAAATACATGGTTAACTAGACACATGGCCAATCTGACCTTGGATAACCAGACACATGGCCAAAATACACCGGTAAAGCAGACACCTGGCCAACAGACACCTGGCCAACAGACACCTGGCCAATAGACACCTGGCCAACAGACACCTGGCCAACAGACACCTGGCCAATAGACACCTGGCCAACAGACACCTGGCCAACAGACACCTGGCCAACAGACACCTAGAATAAAGACACATTAACTATCCAAACAGACACTCAGCCAGCTAGATACTTGGCCAACCAGTCCGACTCTCTGCCAACCAGTCCGACTCTCTGCCAACCAGTCCGACTCTCGACCAACCAGTCCGACTCTCGGCCAACCAGTCCGACTCTCGGCCAACCAGTCCGACTCTCGGCCAACCAGTCCGACTCTTGGCCAACCAGTTAGACACTTGACCAACAAGACACCAGAACGAGACAATTCACCAAATATACAACGGGACAACAAAACATTAGGCCACAACATGCTTATTCCAATGAAAAAAAAAGTATGCCAATCAATCACCTGTAATAACCACGGTCATTACAGACGTCCGCTAATCGTGTTTGTTTGATGTATGTACTACAATCATCATAATGATGGAGACGCCAGACTGACGAGCCGTGCTATAACATTATCATAAAGATAATCATCAGCCATTCATTCCCAACACCGCTCCAAGACTGTTCTCAATTCTGCCTCTCGGGACAACAGAACAGGTCATCAAAAGTCGACTAAATGAAAGGTCATCGAAATGGACTCAATGAAAAATTGTCAACAAAAAAAACAAACAAAAAAAAAAAAAAAATTGTCATAAATAAAGCGCAATAACTGGTCCTTGAAAATGAACCAAATGAAATGTCCTCCAAAATAGACCACACGAAAGTCTCTCCAAAATAGACCTAATCGAAGATCTTCCAAAATTATTCTAGTGAAAGGTCTTTAAAGATTATTTTTTAAAAGGTTTTCAGCGCAGATCAATTAAAAGCCCTCAACGCAGAGCAACTAAAAATGTATCGTTACTGACAGGCTTACGTCCCCTATCTATTTCAACTAACTAAAAGGCCCACAACTCCAAAAATTTGCTCAAAACCCCGTAAGCCGACGCATTTGTAAAGCACAACAGAATCTCCTGCATATCTAAATAACACGATTCCAAAAAACACAGATACATTCAATCGTCTGAAAGATATTTCAAATCCTACGGCAAAATACATCTTTGAACTTATCTTTATATTCATTTCAGCGCGCGAAAGCAAATACGTTATGGAATATTATTGGAATATATTTGTTTATGATTGATCGATCCTGGAGGAAATGTACGTCAAGTTTAAAATGAAATCACGCACATATATGCATTTTTTATTTTTCTAACCCTTTCTGGCGGGTGAGCTCTGTCAAAAGGGGAAGTAAGTCGACATTCTAGCAAGGCTTCGAAATATCCAAATCTCCTTCTTAAGATCAATATTCCCTTCATTAACAACAAAGAAAATTCGACATCTTCTGAATACATCACAGGATATTTTTTTTTATACAAAACATACACAACACCCCATTTCCCCCTCCCTCATCTTTATTGCTCTTTTCCCGTCATTCCAATATTCTTTCCGCATCTTTGATAAATGTATAAACAAATGTAACCTTTCACCCCACAATTTGTTACATTCCGAATCAATGTCCACCTCCTCTTTACACGAAGGATGACGTGCATCCCATTTGATTCAACTTTCCTTATCGTTATCATCGCTTTTTTTTTCATCCACTTCACGAGTATCTCTTGTATTTCATCGCTTCTCTTTTTTTTAAGTTTTAAGCCATCGATAATGGGTGGAACTAATTTTCTCAAGATGACGCTCGTACTCCAGGGGGAGTTGCGACGCGGCGTACACAAAAATCTGTGGTGCTATTTCACCCGCAGAGATGCTTGAGACGGAATAAGCCCAGGGCTGATAACTCTAGGGACATGCGCAATGAATCGTGTCAGGGTAGGTCTCTAGGGACGCGAAGATCTGCAAGAGCTGCTGCTTGTTTTCACTTGTTTGCGGGGTGTACTGGGACACAGTTTCATTTAGAGATGTCTTGTTAGACGGCGGTCCAATGACGTAGAACTTTGGAGCTGTCAGGCTGGAACTAGCGGTCCAATGACGTCACAATTTGTAACTGTCTAGGTAGAACTAGCGGTCGAATGACGTCACAATGTGTAACTGTCTAGGTAAAACTAGGGGTCTAATGACGTCACAATGTGTAACTGTCTAGGTAAAACTAGGGGTCAAATGACATTAGACTTGGTAACTTTCTAGGTAGAACGGTCGAATGACGACAAAGTTTGTAACTGTCAAACTAGAGCTAACAGTCGAAAGACGTATACCTTTCCAACTGTCAAATTAGAGCTAACACTCGACAAATTATATTTAGAACTTCCAATACAACTGTCACTTTAGAATTATAAACTATCTTCTGGTTCGAGAATATTTAAAATTGCATGTAAATGGGACGAATTATCACTTACTTTGAACGAAAAACTAATCTTAATCTCGAATCAAATACATCCGTTGTTAAGTCGCTAAATACAATCATCCTTTCCTGATGAACGTCTCTAGAACTGATCGAAATCTTTGATCTGGCACATCCGTTGTTGGGGCACTCAAGAGATTCATCCCTTCCTGGCGTCGGTCTACAGAGATATCAAAGCATTGAACCATCTCATCCGTCATGCCGTTTCAATAACATGTCGCCACACATCCCCAGGTAAAGCTGTGCTGTATACACCTGTATACACCTGTATACACCTGCAACAGCTGGATATCTGGTCGCACGTGTGTTAAACCACGGTCGGTTCGTGCTTGACAAAATCTAGCTGCTACACGGAGGATATCGAGGTAGATATAGCTGAGTCGGCTACTCGCGGAAATGTGTTTGAAAATTAGGCAAGTGTGTAGGGGCCAACGCAGGGTGAAGGTGATTCAGAGTTTCTTTCAGTCATATATATATATATATATATATATATATATATATATATATATATATATATATATATATGTATTTTCATTCAGCTAGTTATGATCCTGATTGTTCTATTCGCATCACAAAATTACAAAAACCACATTTATTCTCCTTTGACTGACTGTGTAAATGGCAGACGTCCAGGTCTACTTTACAAATAAACAGACGCCGAAATATTAAACATTACACAGCCTTTAACATACCATACAGTATGTCTAACAAAACTTCCGTTACCCTAATCTTTACTCAATCTCTAACTACCGACTAATCCCAGCCCTCGTACATTTCCACGACATGGCGAACAATAGTCGCCAAACAAAAGT